AACAAACAAACAAAAACCCCATAAAAAACCAAACAACAACAACAATGACAAAAAGAGTCTACTGTGGGCAGACACTGCTGGGAATTGTAGACCATGAAAGATGCCCACATCCCCCATCAATTCCCCTCAAGGAAGGCAGAGCAATTGGGAATTGCAGATAGATGTGCTTCAAAAGAAACATTCTGGAAGTGTTGATGCACACCTTTAATCCCAGCACTGGGGTGGAGGTCAGCGGAATGCAGATAGACCTCTGTGAGTTTGAGGTCAGCTTAGTCTGCATAGCCAGTTCTAGCCCAACACAGTGAAACCCTGTCACACACAAAGATTTCTTGGCTTGTCCAGGCTAGAATGTGAAGGAAGGGGGACTGCCAGAGACAGAATTAGATCATGTCACTTGCCCCCTTGGCACCACTCACTTCGCATGGCACTAAGAGTATAAGCTTACACATGCAAAGCAACCCCTACACCTCAGGCTCAGGGGATACTGTGGAAGACAGGAAGATGGTAAGAGCCAGGGGTCAGGGAACTTTGTGAGACTGGTCTCCTAGTGACAATAGAAGCTACACCCCGTAAAGTCTCACCAACATGACTGCCCAAACGTGAACTGAACAAACATGACACCAATGGCATGCCACAGTGGACGGGAGAACTCACGAGGCCACGACTCTACACAAAGAACTATAGGCAACAGGTAGGGCTGGGGGCGAGACAGATGGCCCTCCCCAGGGAGGAGCACACTAACTGGTTGTCTAGTGCAGAATGGTCAGCCCTGAAAACATAATACAAGTGACATTGTATGTACTCAACAGGCTATATTTAGGAATACATATATGTACGTACAAATACATATATGCATAAACAGTTGATGGAAAAAGAAGCCACAGATTTGAAGGACTGGGAAGGGGCAGATGAGAGGGTTTGGAGGGAGGAAACACAAAGGAAAAATGTTAATTATTCTACAATCTCAAAATTAAACAACAGCAACAAAAAGAATAAAATCACCTTGCTTACAACCCTATAAGACTTCATCTGTCATGACCCAACACCTCCTGCCCCCTGGCCCCGTGCAGGTGTGCACAGTCCCCTAGACACCCACCTGGGCCAAGTTCAGCTCCCATTAGTTCTCCTCAGAGGGCACCTCCCAGTGACTCTTCCATTGTCACCATTTCCTAACTAACCTCCCTTTCTTCCCCACTCAATACTACCAGCCAAGTGTGACTATATTTTATTAGTCTTTATTGTGTATCTTCTTGAGGAAAAATGTTCCTGAGGGCAAGAGTTTTCACATTGTTTCACTGCTCCAATCCTTGGGTCTAGAACAGCACTGACGAATAATAGGCATTCAATAAATATTTGTGGACTGAATGAGGAAAGGCCGATAAGGTGTTGTGCACGATGCAGCCTTCTGGAGTTATCTCGAGGGCAAAGGGAAGCCTGGGCATCTTTAACCAGGACCAGAGTAAGATACTCATCTGTTTCCCAGGATAACATTTCTGCTGGTGACAATGACAGAATGGTGGTGGAAGAGGAGAGGAAGGGAGAGACTAAGGGCAGGAAGTTCCATTAGGAGGTCACTACCCAGTGGTGACAGCTTGATATAGGCCGGCTGTGGCAGTGAAGGCAGAGGGGGAAAGAATTTGAGAAAGGTTCTGGAGGGGAAATGGCAGGCTAAAATGCAAAGCTGTGATTGTGTGCGTCGAGTCCAGGAAATAGCTTTGGCATCAGAATTACCATTTCTCCTGTCCAACAACCTGTTAGTATAAAAGCAGTTCTAATATGGATGCACAGAACGGCTTAAAACCCTGCATGCAGAGAGCAAGCTGGACTGCAGCAGGGAGAGTACAGCGGGTCAGGCTGCGGCAGTGATGGCAGCCAACAGAGCTGTATGCTGTGACGGTGCCCATCGTTGTTACCATCTTGGAAGCAGCCCTCCTTACCTGGCTGCCTCCCTTTAACCTCAGGACATTTCAATATTGCTCTTATGGTTTCAATGCATCCTTCTTTCCTCCCTCTGTCTCCAGTCAGTTCAGTGAATGCTACCCAACCCATACCTGTGTTTTACCCTAATGTTCCCTTCATTTGGTCATGCCTCTCATGTTACACTCTTAGTTCTTTGAGAAAAACTTCTGGACTGACTTTCATGCTGGGCAGAAATTATTTGAGCAGCTTTTGCAGAACTCATTTATAAATCATTCCCTCTCACTTCACTGTCACTTACAAGCGAGAGCACCTTTTCTATATGACATGGTGACAAAGGACCATTCTGAGGTATGAAAGAACTCAGAAGAGTTTACTACCACCTACCATTCTTGAGAAGAGAATTATTTGAAATTACATTCTAGGCAACCGAGAAATTATCGTGTCGAAGTGCAGAATGGAAGTGTCTGGTAAACAGGGCCTGGGACTCTGTCTTGGACTCCTATCAGCAGGGAATAAGAGATCCAATGCAGGAGAGTTGAAGCGAGGTGACAGCCCAGGACATGCTGACTGACTGGGCCACACCAACAACCATGGTGACATCTGCATAGGGCTTAATGCAACTGTCTGTCCCCTGGAACTGCTCCCCTTTGTTAGGATAATAATCCTGTAATTGCGATCCCTCTGCAGAACTTCTCCCTCAAGAAGAATTTTCTGTCACATTCAGAAGTCCAATTAAATGTGATTATAGCTGAGTTAAAAAAATCAAGTCAAGCAGTGTCTGTGGCTATCAGAGCAGGTCTGGGAACGGCTCTCTGTGGTGTAGGCAGCTCATGTCACTCCCTCCCTGACACAGTTCCCTGGGCTATCAGTCAACCTGCCAGGCTCCACTGCCTCCCCAGGGCAGCACACAGGTCCCACACAGCCGGCCCCACCCTTCTCCAGGAGCATAGCACTTCTCCTTACACCATCTTCTCAGACCCTCCCTACCCAGCTGCCAGGCAGGACTTAGTCTCCTCACTGTGAGCAAACCCTGTGGCCCTCCCTGGTAGCCCCTGCAGACAGGTGCAGTTACAGAAGCCTATGGCGATCAGCATTTGATGACAGGCATAAATCCACATACTACCCTGCTTCAAACTCCTTTGCTCTTTTCATGGTATTCTTAATGAAGGGCCCATTTCTGTCCCTGCTTCGGCCACACACTGGGAACGAAGGTTGGGGACAAACACCGCAGTATATACTTAAGTGATCTATCCTCCATAATATGGCACAAATCAAGCTGACTGGGTCCTGAATGTGATGCCCAATCTGCCTGACAATAAGATCCATGCATGCAGGACTCATGCAGTTTATTTCCTGGCTCACTGTTCTTCCTCCAGCAGGAACAGTACTGCTTTGGGACAGGTACTTGTCAGTGCCACCCAAGAGCCGAATGGCTCATTTTGTACTATTTCCCAAGGAACAAAGGCTAGCACAGGTCACACTGAACGGTGCCCAGTGAATGAATCCAATCTAACTTGTGTTTTCTTTGTGCTAAAACCCAACCTGACAAAAACCTCTGTCTCCAAAGACACCTGCCTTCCTCTTCTGAGGCCCCCACCTCCACCTCTTTGTCTTGGCTTCCGTGTATGACCCGGGAAACAACAAGGAGCTTTGTATCCCTGGAAGGAAAGGCTTCACAGAAATGCAAAACAACATTAACCTTTTCCCGTGATTGCTTTGAACACACCGGGTGTCTACAAACCTGGGGAGATCAGGAAGAAATTAGTTCAAAATGTAGACAATATTGTTTTTTAAAAAGTGCCTTCTCATCTTTAAAATCTGGAGATGGCATAGTTTCCTCCTTGAGAAGCAATTGAAAAGCACCCATGCTGGGCCCCGCCCCCTCGTGGGCAGCCCTTTCTTCTCTGCTGGTTGACTATTCCCAGGGTGTCTGCCCACTTGTGTATGCCAGTGGCAGCTGCTGCAATAACACAGCCTTACACCACACCTCCAAACGCTGGTGCTGGGGCTTCAGAGGCCGGGACTTTGTTAATTTTGCCTCAGTGCCAACCCTGCCCTCTTAGAGGTCTTAAGGCTGTCCTAGCCTAGGCAGAGAGGCTCTTTATGAACACTACTCTGTTCTCTGACGATGACCAGAAACAATCAGACAAAATGAACAAAGGGATTACAAATTAATCGGCTCTCGCTGGCTCCTCTGACTGCAAAGATATGATTACAAGCCCAGGATTTGAAGAGACCTACATTCCTCATTAATGTCTACTATCGTTTCCATCACTGTGGGCTTTTTCTTTTCTTTCTCTCTCTTTTTTTAAAAGCTCCTTTTCTAAAAGGCAGGGAATGAAGAGAGTGATCCAGCTATGCTCTTTCTTAGCTCAGCAGTAAGTAAAAAATATGTCCTTAACATTTCAAAAAGCAGATCGTCCCTGCACTGTAACCAGTAAAGCGTGGAGGTGAAATGGCACTAGTGTCCTTTATGTCTCCGTCTGGCTAAGTTAATGGATTTAAGCATGCATAACCTTAACCCATTGCTTCTTCGGAGAGGAAGCATACGATAATCCCAACAACTGCAGGCTCCAGGAGGCTTCGGGTCCTTTATGATTCACCCCCTTTTGTGTAGTGTATTTTGGCTGTACAGCAACAGGCAGAGAGCATCTAAAGTGCCTTGCCTGTGCCTCTGCCCTGAGGCCATCTGGAGTTGGAGCCTCAGAGAGAACAGGTCCTGGCATCTTCCTGCCAGGCTGTTCTACAGTGTGATCAAAAAGCAACAGGAACTTTTCTCCTTCTCTTTCCAGACATGTCTACAAATTGCATTTGGGCAGAGGCTCAGCTAGTATGACATTTCATGCCCCTACTGAGACAGGACAAGCTCTATGACCCGTGGGAACTGGAACGTTTATACCACTGCCTAGTACCTTAAGCTTGGTGTTCAGGACATGGTGATTCTTGGTTCTGCATTCTTCTGGCTAAATACCATGGCAGAAGGCTGAGCACAGGGCTTAGAAAGGCAACTGGGCAAGATTTCTACAAAATGAAGTCAAGGGGGAACCCCCAACACCCATCTCCCAGGTTTGTGCTCTTACCTGGGTAGGGCACTCTTCCTTTGGTGACCAGCTCTGTGAGTAAGATTCCAAAAGACCACACATCAGACTTGATTGTGAACCTTCCATAGAGGGCTGCTTCAGGGGCTGTCCACTTAATGGGAAACTTTGCACCTGAAGAATGAAAGGCCTGGTTATTTATGAGGTGGGAAGCCTGTGCTGGGCGAGGAGGGATGAGGAAGTACTGGAAAGTCACCTTCAGGGCATAGGGTGAGAGAGGAGGACAGGAAGGAGGTGGGAAAGGTACACCTGGGGCTGAGATGATGTAAGCCCTAGGCCTGGCTCCTGTGACTTTAAGCAAATCAATTTAATTTTCCCTCCAAAGGGCTGGAATTCAAAACCCTTAATATCTCAGCAAAGAGGGGAGCTGGCTTCTTGAAAAATGGATCCATGATCACACTGGATGGCACAGGATTGGTCTAGAGTGTAGTCCCTGACTTGTGTCTGAATAAGAATGGCTTCCACAGGCTCATATATTTGAATGTTTAGTCATCAGGGAGAGGCACTACATAGAAGGACTAGGAGGTGAGTCCTTACTGATGGGGGTGTGTCACTGGGGGATGGTTTGAGGTTTCAGAAGCCCATGACAGGCCCAGTGGCTCTCTTTCTGCTGCCTGTGGGTCCAAATATAGAATTCTCAGCTACTTTTCCAGCACCATGCTCCCTGCCATAATAATGAACTAAACCTCTGAAACAGTAGCAAGCCCCAGTTAAATGCTTTCCTTTATAAGGGTTGCCAATGTCATGGTGTCTCTCACAGTAATAAACCAGTGCCTAAAACCATATTATGTATCTATGTCTTTGAAATAATGCTGTATTTTAATAAAAACATATAGGATTAGATCTTCATGCTGTTCTCCTGTATCCCCTGGCATCTAAAATCATAGATTGGCTTTATGAGATGCCATAAATCCACAAAGGTTGCAGCTTCTCCTATGGTAGAGGGAATGGATATTGCATGCATGTTACACTGAACTGGGCCACACTTCCTAGGCTTCCTGTGCCCTCTATGAGAAAAGATCCCATCTGTGGCTGGTTTCTCCCTTCCCTCTACTCTCTCTCCATAGCCATCTTCACCCCTGGAAAGTCTTTTATTCTGCACCACATGATCACTTCCCTCTCTTCCTTTCTCCTGCCAGGCAGAGAGGGTTCAACTGGATGATATTTGATAGGGCTCACTGTGATGACTCTGACTCCTCAGGACCAAGGGGCAAGCATGTCTCTGAGTAGTGGAGAATCATCTTCTCTCCAATCTGAAGGAAAGGTGGGGCCTACCCTGCTCATCACATTGTTGGAAATATGTGGACAGGCTTAAGATGTCCCAGCAGCCTATGTTTTTATGTTAGAATCAGTAACTATAAAGCAGTTCTGGACATTTCTTGAACAGGCCAAAGGAAAACTATAAGGATTTTGTATTAGTTATGCAAACAATGATATGCTTAAGGCATACTAATTATGCTTAGGACCCCCTAAAAAGCATACAAATGCTGATAAAAATCAGAATTTTTCACAGTATCATCTATGAAAAGTCACTTTGCAAAAGTAGAAAATGATTAAATCTTTAAATTATGTAGGTTTTTATAGCCAGACATGATAAATTACAACAATTATATTTTTGTTTTAAATACAGTACATGGTAACAACTTTAGCAAATATACCCTGGCATTTTCTAGCAATGTAGTTATCTTCTCCATCTCTTTTATGCCACTGTGAAATCCTATGATTTCCCTCTGTGGCACTTCATGTTAACACTGGAGCAGACAACCAGTTGTAGAGTTTTCTTCTGCTCTTGCACAGTACGTTTCAAGTGTATTTGTTTTTATTTTAAGTGCTGGTGACTGACTGCATGATCTGGGAGTCTCTGAGCAGTCATCTGCTTTAAAGTTTAGCTTTCTGTCCTTGGCCATTCTGTCCATGCAGCTTGGATGCCAAGCAAGTGGGGTTAGAATGACAGGCTTCCCTCAGTGTCAAGAGTGGACCAAACATCAGCTGGAAGTCTCTTATTTAAAAGAAAATAAATAAAGGCATATTAAATTCATCCTCATTTAGACCATCTCCAAAGCCAAATGGCTCTGAAATCTGACCACTGTTAAGTCTGATGGAACCATTTTTTTTCTGGTGCACAGAAAACTCCTGTCCCACAAACGGCAGGATTAGAGCCCTCTGTGCTGTGCTTAGACATCAGCTCGTGGTCCTCTTGCCTCTACTGCCCAAGTACTGGACTAGAGATGTGTACCACCACATGTGCCTATCATTTGGATTTTCTGAAAGAAGGTTTTAGTGATTTCAGGTTTTAAAAAGTAAATATATCACCTAGCTATACTAGCCTACTTTATTAGTTTCTCATTTCATAGGAACAGTAAAGGTAATAACATATAAATGTTGACATAAAAGAACAAAGTCTATATAATCTAATGGGTCCTTCACAGGGGGTGATTTGTAGATACACACTTTGATGGATTAGTAAGGGCTTAAATACATTTACTTTGCATTATTTATCTGTAAGACAGTTTTTTTTTTTCCACACCAAGCAACGGGTATTTAGATGGGTAAAAAAAAATAAAGAATGGCTTTGCTCAAACTCTTAGCAGCTACCTTCAAAAGAAACTTTAAAAGCCTTACTTTATTTGTGTGCACCTGTCCCACTTATGTGCTGGTGCCCTCTGAAGCCAGAGTAGGGTGTAGAATTTCTTGGAGCTTGAGTTTCAGGAAGTAGTAAAGCCACTTGACATGGATGCTAGACCTGAACCCGAGTCTTTGGGAAACTTAACATTGTACCATCTCTCCAGCCCCAACAGAACTTTGTTTGTTTGTTTTGTTTTTTTGAGACTGGGTTTCTCCGTGTAGCCCTAGCTGTCCTAGAAGTTACAATGTAGACCTGGTTGGTCTTGAACTCAAGGTATCTGCCTACCTCTGCTTTCCATGTGGTGGGATTAAAGGAGTGTATCACCACACCTGTTTTGTTTTGTTTTCCCCAGAAATTTCTTTGAAGATGTTTTCTTTTCTAAAGAAGACAAAAGATTAGATTCAAGCAATGATGAACTTCTCATGAAGAGGACAAATCAGTGTTCACTTTGCTATTCCTCTCATTACTTCCATTTCCTCCTGTTTTGGCTTCCTGCCTCCAAAGGGTACAAGGCTACCAGCCCTAAGTGTGGCTCTGACAGGGGGAGTGTTAGGCAGTTGTTTCTGCCAGGCATCTTTGCATATGGCTATGCAGGATGCATGGTTGAAACCCAAGTCTGAGAAGGGTCTGCCCAAGGTCATCAGGTAACACCACCTACACAGTCCCACAAGGCTACTGGTACAGTAAGCACCAAGTTAGACAGCTAAAGAGACTTGGAAGATGGCAGGCAATTCCCAGATAGAAAAAAAGTTGCATCCACTGCCACCCTGTGGTTAACCCTGCCTCTCTGCTCTTGGCCTGAGTGCTATTTGCCCAAGGAACAGCCACCTCATCAATAAGACTTGGACAGGTTCCCAGATCCATGCTGCCACAGCAACCTGCTTTTGGAGTTGTTATGACTTGAAGTGTGATGAATGCATGAACTGTCAGAAGTGTTTCTTCTTGACAGAGGTGTCCCTGAGGGTCAGGGCATGTCTTCTGGATGACCAGAGGCTCAGAGCCTGGGATGACTGGTACACTGGAGACCTTGAGAGAACCAACTGGATGACACGGAAGCTGGATGGTGGATTAGGCTTTCAGCACTCCCCTGCACACTGACTAGCCATGGCTTCTGATGGGCAACTGGTTTGGTCTCTTGCCTCTGGGGCATCTTCCCCTGGTTCTTGGTGAGGGTACCAGATCTGTCATCATCTGGATGCTGTTGAGGCTTAACAACTGCTAACTACAACAGAAAAGCATATACCACACACCAGTGAAACCTAAAAACACTTACAAAATATGCATTTTAATCCCAAAGACAGGGTACTCAGAGCCCCTTTGGGTCTGAGTGAATCTGGGCGATGTAGAGGGATCCCCAGCTCTGCTAACAGGAACGGGATGCTGCTGCGATGGGCAGTGGTTTGATTAGCAGAAGGCCAGGGAGCAAGAGGCCTGGGAGTAGTCACAGCAAAGCAAAGTGGGGAGCAATCATTTCCAGTTCTGGAGCTCTGGCCCCTTTCATGTGAAGCAAGATTAATAATCACCTATGCTCCGAGTCAGAGAGAGGGGAGTGTGGGTTCTATTCAGTGATCTAAGTTTGTCCATAAGAACAAAAACCACCACCCCCACCTTGCCACTGCTGAGGTGGCCCTGCTCTCTCCTTCCTGCCATAAGCAGGCCTGGAGTTTCCCACACAGGCTGAGCATGGTGCTCTCCTCACAGCAAACATTGCTTCCTTCCTGTCTCTGTCTTGTCTCCAATGTCCCCTTTCTCTTCATTCTCCCTCTAACCACATGCCACAGAGTCTCAGTGTCCAGACTTTTCTCTCCTTCTTGTTACTCGTGGCCTGCTGTCTGTGGGAGGGGGTGGGCACATTCAGATGTTTCTCATCTGCATTCTTGGTTCTTTATTTCCAAATATCTATGGGACAAGGGTTCTAGGCTGTCCTGGCTTTACCTAAGATATAGCAACTGTAAGCCAAGTTTATTGTTCACTGTACTATCTTAGTACATGTGAGATCATAAGAGTCACTAAGGTAGGCAGAAAATTTCAGCAAATGACCGAGTTATAAGTTAATTCTTAATTCTTACTTTGCAGTTCTGAGATACAAACAGAATCCCCCTTGTTTTTGTTTTTTTTACTACCCACTTTACGGGGGTTGACTACTAGGTTGCCAGGCTTCAGGGCAGAAAACTTCCAGATTATCTGGGACTCCCCGCCTTGCTTTTTCTAGATTTAATCTACCATCTTGCTTTTGATCCTGGTGTCTTGCTTGGCTCTTTGACATGTCTCTCACAATCACTCTCTCCTGCTAAATCTCACTGCCAAAGCCAGACTCCAGTTGTCATGTCTGCTAAGTCTCCCGCCCTGGTACCTAGCCTCAGCTGAGCCCTCCCAATTAATCCTTTCAAACTGCAGCTTCCTGTTCCACCTTTTTCAACCACACAGGAGGGTCCCTATTGAATTAAATCAAAATCCGCCATCTGGTTTCCAGGGACCCACATATCCA